GCTATCTTGACCTATTTTACATGCTATCTTGACCTATTTTAAATACTCTCTTGACCTATTTTAAATGCTATCAGGCCCGCGCCCTTTCTTAAGCAGCTCGCAAGGTCGCACCCCGACCATTCCCTGAGGGCCAGGCCCCAGACACCCCGAGGCAGCCCCTGGGCCCAAGAGCCTTCGAATTATTCAAGTGTCCCGTCCCCGGGGAGCCCACAGCCCCAGCTAACCCATCAAGCCCTTCTCGGCCTCTGTGAGCCCCCCAGCCCCAGCCCCAGCCTGCTGTCACCTGTCCCCAGGTGCAACTCGCGTGGCCCCGCCCGGCAGCTGCTCTGCCAGGCTCTGTGAGTAACAGGGTCTGCCCTCTGTCGTTCCAGTGCCAGTGTGTTTCCCACCATCAAAAGGATCTTGGAGTCTTAAAACAGCTGTCAGCGTTTGGGCCCCAGAGCTGGGCTATCTGTACCCCCACCGGCTCCTAGCTGTCCCCCACTGAGGCCGGCCTGACCCTCAGTCTGATTCCTAGTTTTCTTCTGTATCCCTCATGCAGAACGGGGATGGCCCAGCGGTTCCTCCCAGCCCAGGGGTCCCGGGGTTCAAGTCCAAGGCTTGTGACTGCAGCCCTGTGCCCCCACACCCCCTCCAGGGACCTGGAAGCAGCAGCCTCGCTCGGGGCTGTGGGGAGGGGAGGCAGGGTCCCCCAGGGATAGGCGACCACATGAGACGTGTGTCCATGGTAAAGGTTGTTGGGGACTTTTGAGAAACATTGACTTTTGGTTTCCATTTATGGCCAAAGGAATTAAAATCTCCAGCTAAAAAGAAAAAAAAGAAAAAAAACACCAAAAAAAAACAGATAAATGTAGTCAAATCATACAGTTGCTGGGACTGGAAAGGAAGCACGCGGGGAAAACAAGGAAACAAGGGAAGAAGTTTAAATGTTTATTTCCAGTTAAAAATGACGCATTACCCTGTGGTTAGAATATAGCTTTATGCTGGAAAACGAAGTCACTTTATTTCTGAAAAGGGAAAAAAAAAAAAATCCAAAAGTCATGACCAGTAAGATTAAAATGCTCTGGCGGGTTCCAGCAACAATGCCACGTGAGCCACGCCCTCTCCAGCCATGTCCCCGATTCCACGCATCTGGCGATGTTGGGTCCCAGCGTTTTCCCACCATCAGGTGAGACACTGAGAGGGACGACTGTACATTTAGAAGCTACAGGTCTGCATGCTGTTATTTAAAAATGTATTTATGCCAACACGCCTCTGGGTGTCCCAGTATATTGCCTATAATACATACAAAAATACCTGCTCTCTGTGTGTCAGCATATAACTCTGCCACCACGGCCCCTTTGCTCGACAGGGGACATGGGTCATATCACATGTGCATGATATTGGCGGCGGGGACAGCTGCTGGGTTTGTAAACCACCTGTGATGTCACAGACAGAGACCAGGATGGAGAATGGAGAACATTTTTGAGATGATTAGAGTGGAAAACCCAGTGGGACCGACGACACGGGGGACCCAGACAAAGCCACTCTCTGTGGCCGCGGATGGCAGACAGAGGGCTCCCCGCTGACAGACAGAGGCCGGGCTATGGGCCCAGCACCCCAACATTGAGGACGCCATTCTAAAAGGGGGCGACACTGCTGATCAAACTCACAGAGTCAGACGTGCTGAAGCGTAGACATCAGCGAGGTGCGCGATGCTTCGCCCACAGGTGTGGCGACGGACAGACACTGATCCACGTTTCCCTGCATCGATATTTGTNAGAGTCAGACATGCTGAAGCGTAGACATCAGCGAGGTGCGCGATGCTTCGCCCACAGGTGTGGCGACGGACAGACACTGATCCACGTTTCCCTGCATCGATATTTGTGAACAGAAACACTGCCCGGGGTTGAAGGATTGTTGACGTCGGGGAACCCACGCTGGCCGGAACGTGAGACGAAACAGCTGGGAGGCCGAGGGCTCCTTCCCTTGGGGCGCACGGAGCTTTCTGAGGTTCGCCAGGGGACGTCCTCCCAGCGTCTTCTCTTCTCGCTGTCTCTCCAACTCCACGCTCGTGTGCTGTCCCGGAAAGGGACACCTATGGGCCCTGGACACTGTGGTGTCACATCTCCGCTGTCCAGGTCACCTGGGCCTTGGGGAGCACCTGGACCACCCCCACCTTCCCGTAGGACTCGGGGTTCGAACCCCTCGTCCGCCCAGGGGAGTCTCAGCATCCAGACCTCGTGGGCGAGGCAGGGACTCCGCCAACGTTGTTTCTTTCAGGTTATCAACCCCGATCGTTTGGGTCCCTCAGCCGTGAAAACCTGGAAAATCCAGGCAGATGCACGGCCCTCGAGTCGCTGCCCTTCGAGGCTTAATAACTGATGTCATGCCCCGTCCCTGTTTAAATATTTTGGGGTATTTGTTTCCTATTCCTTTTAAATTGAGCAGTTGGTAAACAAGCAGGTGTGACCCACGGCTTCTCATCAACGGGGAGTGTTTAGAGCAGAAAGGACTTCAGCGAACTTCCGTGCAGAGCCCACGCCAGGTGACCGTCACTGTGGGCTGATTCCCCCTAAGCGCTGTTCTCCGGCTCCTCACCGTTCACACGCACTCGTGGGCACACGCATGTACATGTGCGTATACACGTGTATCCTATGGTAAAGGGACCCCCTCCTCCGTGACCTTGCACTTAACCTTTATTTTATACCATCTGAGTTTCAGCACAAGCCAAGAAGGTGACCACTCGGGGCGACTCGCCGACCTCAGGCGTCACCCCCAGGTGGCCGTCAGCTTCCTGCTCAGCTGAGAAGCCCCCTGGGTCCTGATCCCCCCTCGTTGCTCCCCGGGCCACGACCACAGGAAACGCTCTCAGTTGGAGGCTCCTTAACGATGTGACAATCACCCCCCCCAAAGCCTCCTCCCTGGACCCGCCTGTGTCTGTGACAGACTCACCTCTGTGTCTGTCGGGGGTCCTCAGATTCAGAAATGAAATTCCCAGCATTTCCGGGGTGCTAAAGATGCCAGCGGGAGAAAGGGGCAACTGCCCCACGGAAGAGCAGGGCTCAGGCGGTTCCCGTGAGCGCGTGGCCTCTCGGGCCCTCCCTCCGTCCCCCGGAGGAGCAGGGCCGCTCCCCCCGCCACCCGAGCAGCTGGCCCGCGAGGGGTCAGCATCTCTGCAAACAGCCAGCACCGGGCCCCCCGGCTTCATTCTCCAGCCCCCAGCGTCAGCTCCTCGCCGCCACTCTCAACACGAGGCCCGGGCCTGGTCAGCCAGCTGCCCCCGGGGCCTCCCGCAGGCGCCTGCTACTCGGGCCTCTCAACTTCCGTCTCTCCGAGGCCCGTGGCTCAGGAAAGCCGGGAGCGCGGCGTCCCAGCCCAGTGTCCCGACCCACCTCCCTAAATACAGTCATCGTCGTGGTCTCCTAGCCTGAAACTCTTGGTTTGCTTCAGACAATTCGCGATGCTCTTTGGAAAACATTTTTACTTAAAGATTATGCAGGAATCGCGCTCTTTCTCTCGCCCCCTGGATTTTCCAATAACTGCGGTTTCTCCTCCTAGCTTCTTCCTGAGCTCTGAAATGGTCACTTATGTTTATGAATTTGGGGGGAAATCCATTGCTTTCCTCCATCGGAACGCACCCTGCGTAGGTTTTATCTCCACCGGAAGCATGACTGGGGGTATTGGGGGGGGCGGGGGGTCACCGTAAGGATGGATTTGTACATATTGCTCAGTTAAAACATCCTACTTTTTAAAAAAAACTTGTTGTTCTGGTAAAATGGAAGGTTTAATCCGAAGGTCTTTCCTATGCAATTTCCTTTCCGTATCTATCAAGTTTACACTTAGATTTCAGCTTGGCTCATAAACTGTGTTGGCCACAGAGCGATTGTATAAATACAGCTATTTCCAGATCTTTTTTTGCCCCAGAAATGGACTCTGGGGGCTCCCCATGAGGCTCCAACACGCAGAAGATAAAATAAGATGTTTGCGGATCACACCTCTTCTGCCAAGTGTTTGAGCTTCGCGTAGAAAACTGTAAAGAAA